GACTGAACTCCCCGAGACAGACGGCCAGCCCGCGGGCCGGGGAGGGGCGCGGGTCCCGGCGTCGGCGCGCCCGAGGGATGCTGGCGCTCGTCTCCTCTCCCCTCCCGGTCTCTCCCTCTCTCTGTGGTCACATCCGGAAGTTCCACCGCGGAGATGCTTAACCCGCTGTCCGCCGGCGGCGCGGGCGGGCGGGCGCGTCCCCAGTCCCCTCCCCTCCCCTCCCCCACCCCGGCCCCCTTCCCGGGGCGCAGCGCTTTTGCGGGGAGCTCGCGTGTCGCAGCCTCCCTGGGTCTTCCTCGGTCCCCACCCCTCCTGCCGCCCTCTCTCCGGCTCGCTCCCCCCCCCTCTCCGGCCTCCCCCCACCCGGGCCGCCACAGGTCCCTGCCCCCCTCCTCTCCCTCTCGCTCTCCGCCCTTCCCCTCTCTCTCTCTCCATCTCCCCGCTTCCCTCTTCTTTCTACGTCTTCGAGTCTCTCTCTCTCCATTTCTTTCTCTTTGTCTCTCAGTCTCTCTTTCTCCCATCTCTGCCCCACACATCTCTGCCTCTCTCCATCTCTCCCTGCCCCTGCGCTCCCACAGGCCCCCCCACCCTTTCTCTGTTCTCTCTCCCTCCCTCCCTCCCTCTCTCTCTCTCTGACTGTGAGATAGCATCAGAGGAGAGAACTGGAGGCTGGAAGTAGCCAAACCCCATATTTTAGTTTCTTTTCTGCCTCTGGCCCCCTAACTTCCCTCCCCTGGGAGACAGGGACACGCGTGTGCCTGTGGCTGAAGCCATGTGTGTGTGTGTGTGCGCGCGCACGGGTGTGTGTGTTTGCAGGAGTGACTGCGTGCGTTGTCTCTGTCTCCGAATATGGTGAGTATGGGGGTGTGTGTGTGTGTGTGTCTGCCTGAGTTTGTACATACAATATCTAGGCCCTGGACATCAGGGTGTCGGCACAGGTGTGTGTGTGTGCGCCTGGAGGTATCACTCTCTCCCTCTGCCCATTTTTGGCCCCTGCCTTTCAGAAGATTCTTAGCGTGAAGTTCCCGCCACTGCTCTGAGGAGTCTGTGGAATCTCCAAAATTGAGGGTAAATGATGTGGCCGGTTGCGTATCTGTTGGAGCGCAGGTCCATAGCTTCTGTCTGATTCCTGAAGAAGTCTGGACCCACCAGCTTTTGAAACTGGTGCTCTCAGGAGATAAGATTTCTGCAGTGAAAATTTATTGAGCACCTACTGTGTGCTGGGTGGTGTTCTGGAGATAGAGCAGAGAACAAAAGACAAGCTTCCTGGCCTCCTGGCGCTTGCGTTCTTTTTTTTTTTTTTTTTTGTGAGGAAGATCAGCCCTGAGCTAACATCTATTGCCAATCCTCCTCCTTTTTGACCCCTTTTCTCCCCAAAGCCCCAGTAGATAGTTGTATGTCATAGCTGCACATCCTTCTAGTTGCTGTATGTGGGACGCAGCCTCAGCATGGCCGGAAAAGCGGTGCGTCGGTGTGCGCCCGGGATCCGAACCCGGGCAGTCAGTAGCGGAGCGTGCGCACCTAACAGCTAAGCCACGGGGCCGGCCCCTGGCGCTTGCATTCTATTGGGGATGGGGTGGGGGAGAGAGAATAGTCCAGTAAGTAAATGTATAAGTATAAAATGATGCCCAGAGGTGACAAGTGCTCTGAAACAAAGTAGAATAAGGATGGGTGGGGGGGTGGTGAGGGGAGGCATGATATAAGCTGGACAGGGAAGCCCTCAGAGGAGGTGACATCTGAGCAGAGACCTGAGGAAGGTGAGGCGGGGAGCCATGCAGACATCTGGGGGAAGATCACTCCAGGCAGAGGAACGGCAGGTGCAAAGGCCCTGGGGCAGGAATGTGAACAGTGAGGAGGCCAGCGAGGGCAGGATAGGAGAGAGACACCTGGGATTTTTTCTGTCACTGGCTTTTTCTACATTAGGGGTCTTTCTCTTCTGGTGTCCTCAGATTCCTGACGGAGTGTGCCAATGGGTGTCAGGAGACCTGTGAACTCCCTAAAATTGCATGGCAAATTACAAGTTTGGTGCTGATGTATTTTTTCCCCCATGAAGACTGGCCATAGTTTTCATCCTATTGTCACAAAAGGTTACTTGACCCCCAAAAGTTACCACCCATCACTCCAGAGGGATAGCACCAAAGAGAAATGAGACAGATTGAGAGAGAAGGGGACAGAAACGGTGGGGGGGGGACAAGGACCCAGAGGGAGGAGGGACGGAGATGGAGGGGGGAACAGAGACCCAGAGAGATGAGGACAGGGGGCCAGAGAGAGAGGGAGAGAAATGCAGAGAGAGGGGAGGCTGAGAGAGGGGGCTGGAGGCAGTGTGCCCACCCCTGCTGGGCGCTCTAAGGATATTTTTATGACTCTCGTAAACAGCTCTACCTCCCCCGCCTCCTGCTTCTCCTCATCCTCCCATCTTGTGGAAATTAAACAAAACTGCCCTGGCCCAGGGCGGGGGGCAGCCAGCTGGAGCTACAGCATGAGGGATTGGGGCTAGGATAGCAGCAGCACTTCCCAGCGGGAGAGGGCGACAGGAGGCTGTGGGGAAGGGTGAGGACGATGGCCCTGGTCCCCCTTGGCCCCTGCGAAGGCCCCTCCTTTCCCATCCAGGCTCAGCCTCACCCTCAGGCCCCCTCCTCTTCTCTTTGTCTCTGTCTCTCCCTGTCTCTGTCTCTCCCTTCCTGGCATGCCCTCACTCTCTGTCTCACCCAGGATCTCTGTCCCTGTCTCTCTCCTGTCCCTTCTCTGTCTCTGTCCCTGACTCTTGTCCTCTGACTCCCCTCGACACACCGTCCTCCCTGGCTGTCTCTGGGTTTTCTCCAGGAATCTGGGGTCTGGACCCACCTCAGACTGGTCCTTCCCTCCCTAAGCCTCAGTCTCCTCATCTGCTGGATGGGCGATGGGCTTGGGTGGGGGGATGATGGGGAAGTGGTTAAACCAGAGGGTGCCAGGGCTCCCGGGGCCTTGGCTGAGTCTGGGGTCCCCCAGGCCAGTGGGCGCTCCCCCCTGAAGTTCTCACACTCAGCTGTCCATGGGTGACGCTGGCCCTTTAAGGAAGGCGGAGGGAAAGCCCCCACCCCCAGCCTTTAATCACTGCCACACACACCCCGCCCCCTAGATAGGGGTTTTGGAGCAGAAAATTAATTTAAATCACTTTTTAATTAAAGATGCAAAGCTCTTCTGTCTGCCCCCTCACTGCCCTCAGCAGAGGTGCAGGGTGGGGGAGCCCCGGTCTGGGCCCCCAGCCTTGCTTTGGGTCTTGGGGGTGTGCTGAGGTCCCCCCCAAGCTGATTGTGAGAACAAGAAGTGTGGCCTGACCTGACCATCCCAGTGGGGCCGGAGGACAGAGGAAGGAGGCGACTGTGATTTGACTGGGTGGTGGTCCCAGCGAGGGCGTGGGACTCGGAGAATGGCCAAGACAGAGTGGCAGAAAGAGACACGGGGAGATGAAGGAAAGGGGGGCAGACTGAGTTATCAGGAGAGACAAACAGAGGAGGGAGTGGAGAGAGACAGAGGAAGAGACAGAGAGAGACAGAGAAAGAGAGAGAGATACACAGAGACAGAGAGAGAGAAAGGAGAGACAGAGAGAGATGGGGAGAGAAAGAGAGGAGAGAGAGAGACAGAGAAAGAGACACAGAGAGAGACAGACAGACAGACAGAGCGGGGAGAGACAGAGACACAGACACAGGGAGAGAGAGAGGGAGAGACAGAGAGAGGAGAGATGGAGGGAAAGAGAAAGATTGAGAGGGAGAGAAGACCGAGACATAGGGAGAGATGAGTTGTTTCCTCCACGGCTCTGAGCTCAGAGAGACCCTCCAGCCCCCAGACAAGGAGGAGGGGCGTGGACTCTTGGGCATAAATCTTTTTAATTAAAGAGGAGCGAGCTGTTGGCAAGGGAGAAATAGGAGTGTCTGGGAGAGAGACTGATGGGGGAGGCAAGGGGCTGGAGGGAGGAGGGAGGGAGGAGGGAGGGAGGGGGTCCCTGGGCTTTCTGACTCCCATGCCCCCTGTCTGTCTGTCACACACACACACGCACACACACACGTACATGTCCCATCTCTCTCTGACCTCAGGCCTCCTCTGCCAAGCAGTCTTCCTCAAATGGTCCTGGACACTTGGACCCTTGCGTCCCGGGGGAGGGAGCAGGTGGGGTCCTGGGTGGGGGGCCCGTGCGGCTGCATCTGTGAGGCTGAGGTGGGGGCCCCTCTGTGCATGTGTGGAGGCGTGTTAACTGAGCGTGCGCGTGTGCGTCTGCTCGTGTGTGAGCCTCTCACTCAGCGTGGGCACAGCCTCCCACGGGAGCGCCCCCTGGGAGGGGCCCCCCCTCCAGCCCCCCCCATTCACCAGATGGGAAGGCCCCAGGCCTAGCCCGTCCTGTTGAGCCCTCCCCGAGTAGATCTGGGGGACCTCCCGGGTCTCTCCAACACAGGCTCCCCCAGCTTGGCTGCCGACCTCCCAGTGGCCTGGGCAGTCCCCCCACCTGCACACTGACCCCTGGGGCTGTGCCCACCAGGCAGCCGCCGTCCCCAGGGACCCCCAGGCCCCCCCAGGATCTGCTCTCAGTGGCTGCCCAGGGCCCCTCCTGTTTTCTTTCTTGGTCCTACTAGCTCTCTGCCTCAGTTTCCCTCTTTATCATCAGCTCTGGCTTGTCTCTCCGTCTCTGTCCCTCCTCCCTCACCGCTAGACTCCCCCCAAGGATCTGGTTCTCTGCTCAGGGGTGGGGGAAGAAGGGGTCCTAAA